TGGCTCTAGAAGTAAATCCACTGGATTCTCAAATGTTTTCTTTGCCTGGTACCTGGCAGAGCAAAACAACATTGACTAGAAGATGGGTATAACATTCAAATTGATCTTGATGGGTTAAAAGTAATGCCATGAAATTTAATAGAGATGAATAGAGTTACATGGAATCCTCTATTTATGATTATTTCTTAGCAACCAACAATGGAAGTTTTTAAGAAAAGAGTGGACAGCCATTTGCCTGAAATGGTATAGGGTTTCCTGCCTGAGCAGTGGGTTGGACTAGAAGACCTCCAAGGTCCCTTCCAACTGTTGTTGTTGTTGTTGTTGTTGTTATTGAAAAAAAATTATTGATTTTCTATTTTCACATTTAAATATTTGAAAAACAACGTGGAGGCTGAGTTGGTCAATAATTCAATAACATACAAATATCTTTAGTACAAATCTCAAACTATTGCATTAAATATTTCCTCTCTTTTCCCGCATTTAAATACAATTCTTACTATATCAATTAAATAAAAATAACTTTTTTACATTTATCAATAATTTTTGTTTATACATATCCTAGTTGTTTTAACATTCAATCGTTTTAGACAATCAATGTCCTGGTTAGTTTTTCCCAATTTTTAGTTTACCATTAATATTTAAATTTAACGTTTAGTATTTATGATTTCCATGTTTTAATTAATCCCAATTCCCTTTATCACAATTCATCACAAGATCTAATATTCAGGATACACATCTTATCTATTTGAATTCTCACCATCTTACATCAACCAATTAGTAGTACAATATAATATTCTTATTTTCTAATAATTTCCAAATATCTTTAATAACCAAAATTTCTCTTATTTCAACATTTAATACTTCCTCTCTTCTTTTAATATCTAATATCTCATATTTAAGCTTATTTTCCCCCACTAAGTAAGAAACATATTCATTACATTCATCAATAAATTTTAGCTTATATATATATCTTAATTACCTTTACATTTAACCTTTATCAATGTTCAAATTCAACTGTTAATATTTCTACTTCCAAGTTTTAGATGATCAAAGTTTTCTTTATCTCCATTCATAACAATATCTAGTATTCAAGATACACATCTTATCTATTTGAGTATGTTCTATTTTAATTCTCTTTACATTTACTTCTACATTTGGACTCACAGGTCCACAGCACCCCACTTTTCTTCAGTCTTATTCTAGTTTCCTTCTTTGTCAAATCATTTTCCATGTCCGTGCTTTTGATTCATCAAATAAATCTCCCTGCATTGTCATGTATATTGTTTGATGTAGAAGGAATCATCCGATTGCCATTTTTTTGAGAGGACTGACAAATCTTCTCTCTGTTTTTCCATCTTGACGTAGTTGTCCTGAGCTGTTTATTTTCTCTTCTATCTGTTCTTCTTGATCCTCAGGTTTCTTCTGATTTGTGTAGAAAGCCTTTTCCCTTTTCCATATTGTTAGTCCCTTTTCTGGATTTTCTATTCACTGATCAGTTGAGTCTTCTGTCATCATACTTAATTGTTCCACTTTTTCTGTTATGTTCTGTATAGTTAATTTTTTAATTTTAGTCAAAGTTTGAGTTTGTATCTCTTGGCTGACATCTTGTTCTTTTCTGTAACCTCTTATTTCATCAGTAGCTGTTAGAACAGTGGTTCTCAACCATTCTAATGCCACGACCCCATAATACAGTTCCCCATGTTGTGGTGACCCCCAACCACTTATACATCACCGGGTGCCAGGGGTGTGGCCAAAGAAAAGGGGGAAAAAATGGCGGACAGCCTTGTTTGGTGACCCCCGTGAAATGGTCGTTCGACCCCAAATGGGGTCCCGACCCACAGGTTGAGAACCACTGTGTTAGAATAATTTGATGAATTGCTTTCAACATAAAGAGAATCTGTTCCTGATCTTTCTCCATATTCTCTTAGTATAGTATTAGATTAACAGCTTTCAATCAGAAAATGCAGGAAAAGTTTATTATCACTGAGTATAGAATACAGCTGAGCTTCTCACAGCTGATGTGTCAAGGTTATAGTCTTATCTATTGTCTGGGCTTCTGGCGAAGTCTCTTTTAAGCAATAACAGATTGTAATATCAGGTTCAGTCACAAGATGTCACCCCTAATTTAAAGTTTTCTTTTGAATCCAATATTTAAAAAATCTTTTCAGTTTAGCTTCTTTTTTATAAATAAAAAACCCAGATCTTCTGTAAGAATAGAAAGTCTTTTAGTCCACAAACTTTAAGAAATAAAATTCCAATTAGGATCAAATTGTTCTTGCAACATTTTTAAACTCCCCTGGATAGTCAATTGCCGGTGTTTCTAGAGGGAGGGATAAAATCTCCCTTCCCTCTCCATAGGGGGGAAAGTACTTTAGGCAGCTTCTGCAGGAAAAAAAAAGTTAGGGTTTAAGAGAGGTAGATCTCACCCAGTCTCGTCCGCGCTGCTTTATAATTGCCTGGTGGTGTGACTTTGGCTGTCTGCAGCCTAATGATGAGCCATATTTCTATGGCTGGTCTTTCATCCACCAGTTTGGAGAGCTGCCCCGGATCCCCTTCTTGCTGGTCTTTCGATCCTTTCCAGGGTCCCCCAGCAATGCAAAATTGGACGCGGAAGACGGAGCTTGCCTTCCAGTCGTCTATGGCGGCTGCATTGGCAAACCGGAAATCCTTCCAACTGTATTATTATTGTTGTTGTTGTTGTTATCAGCTGTCAAAAAAGTGACTTACAACTGTTTTTGCACCTAACATCTGCCACAATGTCCTCATAATCACAATTTGGGTGTTTGGTAACTGGCATGTATTTACAATAGTTGTAGTATCCCAGGGTCACGTGATTATGTTTCTTCCCAGCTGGGTTCCAACAAGCTACTGGAAGTATCCAAATTTTCTTAACAACCATGTAATCTGCTTAATCAACCACATGATTTAAAAAATATGGCAGAAAAAGGTTGTAAAGTTGGGCACTGCCACATGATCACACACTTAATGACCACATTGCTTAGCAAAAGAGATTCCAGTCCCCATTGTTGTCGTAAGCCGAGAACTATCTACTACTAGTTGCAAGGGAACCCAAATACAAATTGAAGATGAATATGAATCAGCAGTATCATCTATTACAAAAACAGAGGCAAAGTTTCCAAATCTGGATTTGTGCTACTTCCACTTTGTTCTATGCTGAAGGGTTGAGTTTTGTGTACCACATATTAACAAGTGTTGTAGAAGGAGCTGGAAAGAGAAGAGCAACCAAGTTAGCTAGAAACAGTTCTTTGAAGAGATACTGAAGGTAAAAGTTTCGCCTTCAGAAAAAAAAATTCAGGGAACATAAATTGTTGAATCAGCTGCAAGGGTTCAAATGTACTTCCTAGATAGAAACATATTAAATTATTTTGTTCATGAAAATGAATGATAAATCCTGGGGACAAATAATCTAGCATCAAAAGTGGTTCTTACAATAACTATTATTACAATAAACTAATGGGACCATTAAATAGACTAATAAGTGATAGAAAATGAAGAAGTTAAAGCACTCTGGGACTTTAGAATTCAAAAGTAACCACCTGCTGCTGCATAACACCCAAGACCTAACAATTATTGATGAGAAAGATAAAAAAGTCTGGATAGTGGACATGGCACTACCTGGAGACAGTGGAATAAAAGAGAAAGAACTGGAGAAAATCACAAAATACAAAGACGTGCAAGTAGAAGTAGAACAACTGTGGCAAAAGAAAGCAAAGATAGCACCAATTTAATAGATGCCTTGGATATAATCCCAAAACATCTGGAGCATCACTTGAACACCATCAGCATTGACAAAACCACTATCAGACAATTGCAAAAGGCAGCTTACATCCTACGATGATACCTTTAGCAACTTCAAACCTCTGTCTATCCTTGGGAAGGATTCAACAAGTGGATAAAAATACCAAATTCAACTTAAACATCTAGCTGACTGTGGGATCAACCACAATAATTCACCATATCAAATATTGCTAATTATATTGTGTTGAGGTTGTCTGTGGAAATATTTACAAGGCCCTGAAATACAATACATTGTCTTTAAATTAAATTACTGCGAAATACAAACAGAACTTTCCAAAATAGGAAAACTGCTGATCTCTGAGACTGTAAAGAGGAGGGTGGATTCACTTACTTCTCCAAGATGCTTCCAATGTCCTAAAAAAGAGAGCGAGAAACCACTGAGCCATTTCCTATGCAGAAAATGAAATTCATATATTCATAAAATAAATGAGAGAAACCTCTGTACAACCAGACACTAACAAAAATATACTTCCATTTTTATTTTAAAAAATCCCACTGCTCTTTTTTCCCCAGCAGTTCACCTATTTTAGAGAGGTATTGTTTATTTTTATTTTCTTGTTTTAGAAAAATTATACCCTGGTTGAATCCAACAGAATTAGAAAGATTATAGTATATATATAAAAATAATAAAACATCATAGAAAAAAGAAACAAAACACATTTGAAAAAGAAAACAATGCATCAATAAAATACCAAAATTTCCTGCATTTATGCTTCTGGAATCAAGGCACTTTGGAAAATCCAAGTGGTTTTAACTTTGTAGAAGGCCATCAATTTTGGGGTTCTCCTTGCCCTGGAGATTAAGGGGAAGGGAGACCCTACAAAGAACACCCACCACCAAGTCCCTTCATTGGTAATAGGACCCCTCAGCGGGCATTCTTAAAACCATTAAGGGTGCTGACCAGCACTTTGAATTCTTCCTTTTCACATGGCCTGCTTTTTCTGAATTAAATATTAGCCATTGCAGGTAGCCCTCGACTTTCAACAGTTCATTTAGTGACTGTTCAAAGTTGCAATGGCACTGAAAAAACCTGACTTTTTCTCACTTACAACTACTGTAGCATCCCCTTGGTCATGTAATCAAAATTCAGCCGCTTGGCAACTGATGGTATTTTTGATGGTTGCAGGTTCCCAAGGTCCCTTCCAGCCCTGTGATTCTATGATCTCAGTTTCCTGCCTGACCTGTAAGAGTTTGCTGGCTGGCTGCTGATGCTTCTCCTCTATTTCCTGGATGAGATCGTCAAGAGAGCACAGTCCAGCCAAACCATTGTCCCTTCTTGCCAGACTCTCCTTCTCCGTCTCTTCCATTCTGGCCAGAAGAAGCTTCTCCTGTCTTTTTAACCACCGTTGTAGTTCTCTGAATTCAGCCACTGCGTTTTTTTTCTCTTTTTTGATTTGGTCCTAGAACAAAAAGACAGAAAAAGCAAAAGGCATGTTTTTATTTTATTTTAATTATTTCACTTAATTATTTTTATTGTTATAATAACTAAACAGATTCCCTGAAGAGTCCAGAAACAAGATGGGAGAATTTCCTAAGCAGACATGTCAAACACATGGCCCGGGGGTTTCATGAGTGGTTTCATGTGGCCTGCGAAGCCATCTGGAAACAGTGAGGAAACGGCCCGTGCTGCCTTGGCCCTGGCCCATGTCGGCTGAGAGGCCAATGTACAATTTTGTGGTGGCCATCTATGCTGAAACGCATTCAATCTTAGCTCCACAAGACCGTCCGGAAACAGCGAGGTACCAGCCCCTGCTGCATCGGCCCTGCCCCCTGGGTGCATGCTGGGGAGGTGTCACCCTTTGTGAGAATGAAGAAATGGACCATTGCTTGGCGCTTGCCCCAGTTCAACCCCTTCTGCCAGAGACCCTCAGATCTGTCCCACTCCTGCCCAAGCCCCCACAGACACCCTTGACGCAAATAATGTAGAGCTGGCAATGCCCACCCAGTAGGCCACCCCCACTCCATCCACACCTACCTGGTAGGCTGCACCCACCCTGGCCATACACCCCCCCAAGGGCCCCCGCAATGCTGATGCAGCCCTCAATGAAATTGAGTTTGACACCATTGTCCTAGGGAGAAAAAAAATGCCTTTTGACCTGAACAAACATAGGGGGAAAGGTTTCTAAAAACCAAAAAAAGGTCCAGTTTAAATGATCTCTCATGAAAATTTTCTTTGGATCAGGGATCCCACAAAAATACAGAAAAATGTTTTGATTTTTGCATTCTATTGATGCATTATTTTCTTTTTCAAATGTTTTTTGTTTCTTTTTCCTATGATGTTTTATTATTTATTTGATTTCACATTTTTTTTAGTAAGATGAAATATGGTTTGCATTTATTATGCAAACCAAACCCATTATATAAAATATGGCTCATAGGTGTCCTTAACCCAACTGTGACTCATTCAGCCAATGGTGACATCCCAGTCAAAGATACAGTCCCCAGGCTAAGAACACGTTCTGTGCCCTAACACTGTCTTTAATTTTAATTTCATTTCAGTCAGAACTTCTACTTACAAACAGGCTGCCTATTATTAAAGATGGCAGATGGTGTTCTCCTTCCTATTAGGTCAGAAGCTCCTCACCGTTGGATCAATACTTACAAGCATCTCCTGAACTCTTTGCTCTGTGTCCGTTTTGTATGTAGCTATTTTTTCTTTCTCCTCCTTCTGAGCCTTCAGGCAATCCCCAACCTTGATCTGAAGAGAAAATACAAGCTTTGAGTTTCTTTTCTGTAAAGAATTACATCTGAGGGAAGACCTAATTAGAAGATATATGCAACCATAATAATAATAATAAGTTGGAAGGGACCTTGGAGGTCATTTAGTCCAACCCCCTGCTCAGACAGGAAACCCTATACCATTTTGGACAAATGGCTGTCCAGTCTCTTCTTAAAAACTTCCAGTGTTGGAGCATTCACCGCTTCTAGAGGCAGGTTGTTCCACTGGTTAATTGTTCTAACTCAGTGGTTCTCAACCTGTGGGTCGGGACCCCATTTGGGATTGAACGACCATTTCACGGGGATCGCCAAACAACACAGTCCGCCATTTTTTTCCCCCTTTTCCTTAGCTGTGCTACTCCCTTTTATTCTATTGGCTTTTGAAAGCCAATAGAATAGACTCTCTTGAATAGAGTAATTCTATTGGCTTTCAAAAGCCAATAGGAATTGTCCAGGCTGTCTCTGCCCTGCTGAGCCCGCCAAAAGTCCCATTCTGCAAACGGTGCTACACCAGTTGAGTAGTCCTCGACTTACGACCAGTTGAGTAGTCCTCGACTTACAACCGGTTGTGGGTCGCGGCATTAAAAAGGTTGAGAACCACTGTTCTAACTGTTAGGAAGTTTCTCCTTAGTTCTAGGTTGCTTCTCTCCTTGATTAGTTTCCACCCGTTGCTTCTTGTCCTGCCTTCAGGTGCTTTGGAGAATAGCTTGACTCCTTCTTCTTTGTGGCAGCCCCTGAGATATTGGAACACTGCTATCATGTCCCCCCTCGTCCTTCTCTTCATTAAACTAGACATATCCAATTGCAGCAACCGTTCCTCACCATTTAAAAAATTCACTGTATTCTTTCAGATTGTTTAAAGGGAAAAATACGTTTTCAGCCATTTTAAAGCACTAAACTTTTATTTAAAATGTTTCTAAAATCAAAGCTTTCTAATACATCTTTTTAAAAATTCTGTCTTAACATGTGTACTTTAAAGTTCACGTTCAGACCAATACAATTCCAATTATTAAATTATTTCCTTCTCTTCATTAAACTAGACATACCCAATTCCGTTCTTTATATGTTTTAGCCTCCAGTCTCCTAATCATCTTTGTTCTCTTCTCTGTACCCTTTCTAGAGTCTCAACATCATCTGAGAAGCATGAGATTAGCCACTGAGAAACAAAAGTTTGGGCTGAGATGGCTTTGGTCTGATCCAGCAGGAATATTTTGGGGTATTTCAAGACTTTGCAGAACTCTATAGCAAATGTAGAAAAATGTCATTTGGAAGAAAATCCACTAGTGTTTCCTTCCCCATCTGATCTTTAAACTTTAGCCAGTTAATCCTCTTGCTGATATTTAGATTAGATCTTTCTTATCTTTCCTTAGAAAAAGTGAGCTGGCAAAGAGTTCTATTTCTCCACTGCTAAGCATAACAGTTAAGTGAAGTTTTGTCCCATTTTACAACCATTTATTTATTTATTTATTTATTTATTTTCAGTATTTATATGCCGCCCAATCCCAAAGGACTCAGGGCGGCGTACAAAGTTAAAACAATGATAAAACTATAAAATAAAGCAGTCATACCGCGAGTCCGATCATATCCCGGCCCCCCGGGGGCATCAGCCCCAGGCCTGCCGGAACAGGAGGGTTTTAACGGCCTTCTTAAAGGCCGGCAGGGTGGGAGTAGTTCGAACCTCGGGGGGAAGCTGATTCCACCAGGTCGGAGCCACCACAGAAAAGGCCCTTCCCCAAGGGCCCGCCAGCCGACATTGTCTGGCCGACGGGACCTGAAGGAGGCCCAATCTATGGGACCTCACCGGTCTCTGGGAGCTGTGCGGCAGAATGCGGTCCTGTAAGTAACCTGGCCCTATGCCATGCAGGGCTTTAAAGGTGATAACCAACACCTTTAATTGCGTCCGGAGACCCACAGGAAGCCAGTGCAGCTCGCGGAGGATAGGTGACACGTGGGCATACCTTGGCGCGCCCACAATTCTTGCCACAGTTGCAGTCGTTAAGTTAATCACACAGCTGTTAAGTGAATCTGGCTTCCCCATTGACTTTGCTCATCAAAAGATGATCACACGCCCCCCAGAACACAGCAACATGACAGTTGTCAAGGATCTGAATTTTGATCAGTGAAGCAGGGATGCTGCAGCGACCATAAGTATGGAAACTGATCATAATAACTTTTTTCAGTGGTGTTGTAACATTGAACCATCACTAAATGAATGCTGGTAAGCTGAGGACTACTTGTTAACCTGTTTTTTAAAAATTGCAAGAACAGAGGCCAGGGGTGGGATAAAGCAGCAGGAAGCAAGTAAACTGCTCCAAACGTAACTAGTGCTGGCACTGGATGGCTCTCCTTAAGGATTCCTCCTGGCTGATTCTTACCTGGTACTCCTGGAAAGCCTCCTCCGAAGGGATCACCCAGTGGCCCCTGTGCTTTTTGCATCGGTCGCAGACCACGCAGATGAGGGTCTCGTGGTGCTTACAAAAGAGCTTGAGGGGCTCCCGGTGCTTCGGGCAGACCCTCCCTCCGTCCTCGCCCCAAGGATCTTCGCATCTCCTGGCCATTTCCACCAGCCGCGCCAGCTGCCTGTTGGGGAGGACGTTGCGGGGCCCGAAGGTCTGTCTGCACTGGGGGCAGGAAGCCTCCGATTCCGATGTTCCCCAACTGCCGGTCAGGCAGCCCCGGCAGAAGTTGTGGCCGCATTCCGGGATGAGCACGGGGTCCTGGAAATAGTCCAGGCAGATGGAGCAGGTGGCTTCTTCCAGGAAATCCTGCAAGGGAGCTTCGGCCGCCATCGCTGCCTCCTCCGCCGAGACAAGGAAAGAGAAACTTAATTTCGCACCTCTGCTTGCAAATCAGATGACCGCCTTTGGGCTGTGTCCCAGCTGGAAATCGAGAGAAGTTATTTTTGGTGTTGCAGTCAGTTTCGCTGACGTTTTAAAATAAAAAGAGAGTATTTATAAAAAAAAAACCAATTGGGAAGAAGCGGACTCCCGATCAATTATTATTGGCCCAATCAGCTCGTTAAAGGAAAAATTCTTTTAAAAACTGGGGAGAAGCAAACATGCATGGGAGGATCCCCGATCAAGTACAATTGATCCCAGCATCCTGTTAAAGGACGGGGAGGGGAGGGGTAAAAAACCCGGGGGAAAGGAAATATTCTTGGAGCGGACCCCGACAATTATTGCTCCAAGCATCCTGCTAAAGGAAAATATATTGGAAAAAACCTGGCTGAAAACAGGATGATTTTTTTATTAGCAGATCAATTCATCACAATCTACCAAAAAAGAATTAAATTCTGTTCAGTTGGGATCACCATTCAAAAGTACTATGTTTGATTGTAGTCTGATAGTTTATTTTTATTTCCTCCTTTTTGTCTCCATTTATGTGATTAAAATATTTAACTAAACTTGTAGCTATAAATAAAAGAAACTTTAAATCTTTCAGATGAAGACCGGGGCAAATCACTATCATGGTACCCAAAAAATTGTTCATGGTATCACCAGGATTCAATTCAATTCAGCGGAGTTTATTTTTTTTATACTTCTGCAAACCCATTCAGTGATTTGTAAGTGGGCCTGTGAGAGAGCTTATTTCATTTTCAAGGAATTATTATCATTAGATTAAATTATTACTACTATTATTGAACATCCATGTAAAAAGAGATGTCTCTCAGTACAAAGAAACAAAACTCCTATTTAAAATACACACCCACCACCACCACCACCAGGGCACAATCTAAGCGCTATCAAAATTACAAATGAAAACTTCCAACAGTTAAAATTACTGTTATTGTTTTACTGCCATAAAAGGCATGAACTGCATAACCACCATGATCTATGTATAGCCAGGGTAAAAAAAAAAAATAACCCACAAATGATACATCTACTTTGCAGACCTAATTTTCCAAGACAAACTCGCTGCCCAGCTTCCTCTAAAATTCACTTTTGGCTTCTCCTTCCCCATAGCTCCACCCACAATTCCTCCTTCCCTCCTCCCCCCACAAAAAGGGGAGGGCCTTCCCATTGCTAGCCAATCTCATCTCCCCATGGATTCTCACAGACCTCTTTCAAAGGCCCTGCTCCCCAGAAGGGGGGAGATGCTGCAAAGCAGGAACAACCCTAGAGTCAACAAAGGCCTATGGGATGGAAGCCCCACCCCTTATTTACATATGGGTAGAAGGCGGGACTGGCTGCCATCTTGACTTTGTTGACCGGCCTGGGACACCCTGGCTATAATCCCCATCCCTTTGAGGCCTGTTGAGCTAGATCAGTGATTCTCATTTTGGCGTCTGCAAAGTCAGAGAAATCAGCATCTTAACATTTCTTGTTTTTAATGTATATAGACATTAAAAGTGTCTTATGAGAGATTTTCACACTTACAACCATTGCAGCACACACACACACATTGATTACTTGATCAAAATTCAGTTGCTTGGCAATCGGTTCATATTTATGATGGTTGCAGTGTCCCTGGGTCATGTGATCACCTTTTGTGACCTTATAACAAGCAAAGACAAAGGGGAAGCCGGATTCATTTAACAACAAATCACTGCTGTGATTCACTTAACAACTGTGACAAGAAAGATCGTCATGGAGCGCTACCCCACAAAGGGTCGCTGGGGTCCAGGTTCCCCTGGCCCTCTTTTCCAACCACCTGGGCGCCTTCCCCTGCTACAGTCCGTCATTGTGGCTGCCAATCCACTCTGTTCCCTCATTCAGACACCTCCACTTGCCCCGGGCCAGCTGGACTCTGCCGTCTTGTCCTTCCAGCCGGTCCCTTGAGCAGCCTCCTCCGAGCAGGTGGATCACACATTGGTGGGGTGGTCAGACAGCCAGTCAGCCCTTCTTCCTCTGTCCATTCTCTCTCCTGCTGCTTGCTGGTCTCTCCTGCCACTGCCTCTGCTCCTTGGTTGATTCACCTGCCTGCCTCCATTTCTATCCCTCTCTCTTTCCCCTTCTTCCTCTTCCTCCTCCTCTTTTCTCAACCTTTCCTCAGACTTTTCCCCACCTTGCCCCAAACTCCTTTCTCGACTTTCCCTCACACTCCTTTCTTTCCCTTTCCTCAACCTATCCTCATGCATCACTTCCCCCTATCACTCTGTGGGGTGGAGACCAGGTGACGGGGTGGCCCCACTTCCCTTCTCTCCCTTCTCTGCCCCCATAGAGACTCACCCATTCCTCTCGCCCTCCCTATCCCCTGCTCCCCTCCTCTTTCCCGCCAAAACCTCCATTCCCTTCTCCCTCTTCCCCCATGATAGAGTTAAAATGGGGCAACGCTCACTTAAGAACTGTCTCACTTGGCAGCAGAAATTTGGGGCTGAATTGTGGTTGTAAGTCGAGGACTACCTGTATTAGGTATGTTTGTTTGGATTATTTACTTGCTCCATTGCCAACAGCAGCTTGTCAATCTTCAGTAGTTTAGATGCTTTGAGATGTTCCAGAGAGCTGCTGTTAGCATTCAAAGTCACCATATCAGAGTTTAGTTTCATTCCTTGTTTGTTTGTTTGTATCTTGTCAAGGTGGCAAACGTATCCAACACATCTTCCTCCTCCAATTTTCCCAAGAACAACCCTGTGAGGTGGGTTGGTCTGAGAGAGAATGACTGGCTCAAAGTCACCCAGTTGCCTTTCATGGCTAAGGCAAGACTTGAACTCACAGTCTTCCTCTTCCTAGCCTTGTGCCTTAACCACTAGACTAAACTGGATCTGACTCTCAGTTCAGTATCGAAGCCACTTTTGGGGTGTCTCAGATTGTTGACCCCTGGCGACTGCCTAGAATCTAAACAAATCTCCCTGTACTTTTCTCCGCAAGGATTCGGGAGTGCCATTGCCTGCTTCCTAGAGCTGAGTGAGAGTAACTGGTCCAAGGTCACCCAGCTGGCTTTGGGCCTAAGGCAGGATTAGAACTCATGGCTTCTAGCTTGATGTCTTAACCACTACACTAGATTGGCTTTTTCTTTTACAGTTACTCAATGAAAGGCAGAGTGGCTTGAAGCAAGAAGGAAAAAGAATGCTATTTAGCATCTTGTCAAATAATGTATTTATTTAATAACGTATTTCATTTTTACAATTCTATTAACAATTCTATTGAATTTTGGCTTGAGCCAGGTGACACATTTACTCCACGTAGAGCTCACATCTCCTATCTTGATAACAGATGGTATGTTCTGCTTTTGTCTACTGTCTTCGGTGTGTCTTTTGTTTCTATGTATTACATAGAATAATCAGATTTGTTTGATTTCAAACAGCATAAAACTAATATCATCACTCTAAAATAGAAATAAAATGTCATATTGGTAGAATAAGATAAGGTAAAAATAAATTTATTGACATAAAATTGCAAAGGAACTACAATCCATGAGACACCTATAAAATTACAATCAGTCTTACAATCAGTAATCCACTCATATACATCCCAATCTATAAATGGAATGGAGAGCTATGACACACATAAAATCATGTAGGTTTAGCTGTAAAGTATCTTTAATATTGACACACCTGAACACAGGATGCTAACGCCTATAAAGCTCCTAGGACACCTCATTTTTTTTTATCCAGACAAATAGAAGTGATGGTCAGGTTATTCCTTCATAGATTAATTGACTGATTGACCCATTCCTTCGATTTAAAAGGCCACTTAACTACAAGCAGCTGAACGTGGCATAGAACACTGAAGGAAAGTGTTAGTAGCCAGAAGCTAAGTAATGTCTGTTTTAAAAGCTTTCAAAAATCACCACTTGGCAAATAAGGATTTTTCCCCCAAAGTTTTGTCTTTTGAACCTCTTTTAGGGGAGGGTCAGGGAGGCGTTTTTCTGCAAAAAGAAAGAGGGCAGAAGGGTCTCTCCAACTAAGGAAGCGTCTGAGAATGTATAAAGCAGAGCTGCGGTCCTGGCATCAAAAAAGCTCACTTGTCCCCCTTCGCAGTTGAGAGAGATGCGGATCCTTGTGGGCTTCTCGGTCAGGACCAGTTCAGAACGTACTGATGGAGAGAAGATCCTGTATTTCCTTTGCCATTTCCCAAAATGCCAGGGAATGATCTGCTTATCAATCACCAGCTTCCTGGCAACCCCTATAGCCCATCCTGCTGTGTCTCCTACAATAACTTCCCAGAAATGTCTCCCTGTTGAGAACCTCTGATAGCCAAGGACATAAGGATTGTATTCAAGTCTCTTGCGATGTGTTGTTTCATCAACTCTTGTGACACTTTTTTGATCTTCGGAGAAATCAAGGTCGTCAGGATGGCCTGTGTCTGGATCCAGAATTACATTCACTGTAAGGGGGAAGGGAAGGAAGGAGAGGAACAAGAGCTTCAGCTGCAGGCCTGGTTTGTGTCCTGACCCCCAAGATAGCAACCCTAAGGCCTCCTCTCTGAAAGGAGTTCAGCTTCCAAGCACCCCCCCTCCAGGATTGGAAGATTCATTGCTTTTTTAAGTGGCATCTAAGCATTGCCTAGTCCTTCCATCCCTTCATAGTGCTTCACCCCCTTCTAGCATCCCTGTGCAATTTTCTTTTGCCTCCATCTTGCAGGGGAGCAGAATGGGGTTGGGATGAAGACAAAGAAGGTTTTGTCTTCAGTGAGTTCCTGGGAGAGACAAGGTGGGAACAGGGACCCCACCTGGAGCTTTAAACTAGAAGTTCAGGCACAGCAAAAGGCTGCCATGTTTCAATTCTGAACTGCCAGAATCAGGGGGGTCCCCAGAGGTAACTTGGGCACATGATGGAATGTGCGGAAACTCTGCACTTTTTCTACAGTGGTCCCCAGCCTTTCCGGCTTGGTGGTCCGGTGGGAGGAGGGAAAGGGGATGGTTCTGTCCAACTGATAGGCACAAGCGCAAATGTGCA